TATATTTGTCTTTATTAAGTTATTAACAAAATCAGAATAAAGATTATTTCTTAGACTTATAAAACTTTTATTAATTAAGTCAATTTCATTTCTCACGTTATTAATATCGTTAGACAACTGTTTATTCTGTTGTTTATAATTACTTATCTCTTGCATCAATAAATCCTTTTCAAATCCAAGCTTACTATTTGCAGATTTTAACTCATTATTCTCAATGGTGAATTTATCAACTAAGTTGTCTTTGTTAGAAAGATTTGATTTAACTATTTCTATAAAAGGTTCTACTTCGTTTTTATAAGTTTTTAATCCAACATTTTCTGTTTTTAGAAAAAGATTTTCTTTTTCCAATTCAATAATTTTTTCTTTTAGCTCTTCATTTGTTTTGGTTAACTTCTTGTTTGATTCTGTTTGTGATTCAATTAATTTAATTTGTAAATTATATTCAGTTAATGTACCTTTATAAGTTTGATATATACAATCATATTCAGATTTATATTTTTCAAGAAAATCTGGTAATTCCCTTATTTTTTCAAAAAACACAGAAAAGTCTTCATTTAATTTTTCTCTAATATCTTTTTGTTTAAATTCTACATTATAAATATCTTGTGATTTTTTATTAAAGTTAAGATTATTTGGATTGATATTTTCAATTTCATGAATTGTTGTATTATTAACCTCTTCTATGGTTTCCAAACTGGTGATTAATGGTATGTAATTTGATGACTTAAATACTATGTCATTTTTCTTAGTATTCTTTTTATTTTTGGTGTTTTTATCGTATGTTTTAATTGTGTTGTAATAAGGAGGAAGATATTGTTTCTTCATAGCTATTTAAATTTATGCAACTTATAAATTTAAAGTTAAAAATTTTATTTGTTTATAAAAAGAAACAAAAAACTTTAATAATTTAATGTTGAAAATGCATACGATGTTTTATTACTAAAAAATATTATAAAATTATATAACATGATAATTCTAATTAATAATTTAAAAAAAGAAATATTAATATAAAATCTAAAACAATTTTTATAAGAATGTTAAATAATTTTTTACTAGTTTATTAAATGAATTTTATACTTTACTATAACTTAATTTTTACATTATTATCATATGTTTTATAAAAAGGTATTAATTCTCAAATAGAATTAAATTTTAATAAAACTTTTATTAATATAATTTTTACTAATTAAATAATTTAGAAACAAAGAAGTTAGTTAATATTTATTAGTTAATAATTCTTTATTAATTTAAAATGTAAAAGTATAATAAAGAAAAGTTTATATAATTTTTTAAATATTTTTGTATATTGAATACTTAATATTTTAATTCATAATATGAAAATAGTTTTGTTAGCCATTTAAATACAATACCTCTATAGTACATTTTCATTCCTATTTATAATTGTTATTTCTTATTCTGTTGTTTTTATGATCTCTTGATTGATTTTTTTGTAAATATCACTTTTCTTATTTATTTATAATTGATTAGATTTTTTAATAATGTTAATTTTATAAATTTATATAAAATATGAAATAAATAACAACTCATTAAATATATTTTATATTTAAAAACATCTTTAGTATAAAAATATAAAAAGCTTGTTAATTAAATTTAAAAGAATAAAAATATTAATTATTTTAATTATTAAATTTTATCATGTTATAATATTAATATATACATAGGTAAATTTATAAGTCTATAAAAAATATAAATGTAAACTAAACAACACATAATATTGCATTGCGAATATCATATATTAAATGATAATATTAATAACAAATAGATATTGTAAAATAATTGAATTAATAGAAATTAAATACACATTTATTTTAATTAATTATAAAAAAATTAAATATTATAAGAATGTTTTATTTAAAAGTATTAAAATTGTTTAGAAGATAAAAAAGACTTTTTTGATTATCATTTTGATATTTATATACTTTTATATAAAATCTCTCAGTATTAAAAAATTTAATAGAAAAACAAATTTTAAAGACTAAAATATCTTTTAACAAGAAATTTATTTCAAAAATTCATAATAAGAATAATTTCTTTTACTAAAAAATATACTTGTAGAATTATAAATGAAAGATAAATAAAGAAATTAAAAATGAAAATTTTTTA